AAGGGGGAGTACAAACTCAATTATCTGAGAAAATTTCGGTGACGTATTTTGACAAGTACTATTTCATTCACTTTATAGATCTGTTATGTTTGCCCTAACAGAAGCAGTGTCCGAATTTCAAAATGTTAAGAACAATAGCAAATAATCCCTAAAATGTATTGGGGGTGGGTGGGGTTACAAGGTGCACGTACATAAACTAAAAATATTTTGCTTATATATCATATGCCTATCAGTAACCTTGTTTTATCTGTTATGAACTACAGATGTGTTACAACCCACTAACGACCTTATACCATTTGTATTAATATGGTATTTAATATTATTAGGTCGTTAAGATAATGAACCACACCTGGAACAATATTTATCAAGCATTCATTGAAAATATTAAAACTGAAATAAAACTGAAGATTGTTCCGGACATAACATTTCTTTCGATCGACTTATGTGATGATACAGCATTCGTAGCAAAGTTTCACGGCAGCAGAAAAAACCTATAAGAAGGACATGATGATTTTGTAAATATTGCAGACAGTTCGATAAACAGAAACATTATTTCTTGTTTGCGAAGGTGGCAGCCTCCGCAGTTTATCGATCTGGCAGAAGATATAAATCTCCACTTTCTCCCACTCACCCCTAACTTTAGTAGTAAACAACCCACGCGCATGTCTCTGCGGAGTCTTGATTAAATATAGATTTTAGACGTAGATGTGACGTCCGAGGAAGCTGGCAATGCACGCAAGACCTTCTAAGGATTTCATTTCATACTATAATCAACAAGCGAAATAAGTGTACAACTTTCATAGTTAAAGCAAAGAAAAATAAAATTAAATAATATCAGTGATTCTTAATCTTATTAAAAAGTTACACGAATTAAAGTATGCTTAGTTGCGTGAAGGAGTTTTGCATCTCTCTCTCTCTCTCTCTCTCTCTCTCTCTCTCTCTCTCTCTCTCTCTCTCTCTCTCTCTGTACTACCTGCGCTTGTATTAAATATATTATATTCTCAGTAGTACAATTCAAAATCGTTTTGAAGCGAGGACATTTTGAATCTGTAATGCGTATGTAGTGCCCATTAAAGACAACGTGAAACTAGTTGCTACTGTTGGTAGTGGTGTCCAAATAGGCACCATATGTTCAACGGAAAATCTAACCGAAAGTACGCAAAAATAGAATGAGAGCAAATAATTTTCCGCAACTTACCTCTAAATCTTTCAAGGTACAATCACAGTGATTATTGAATAACACACGACTATACGGGGTTTGTCAAGCCTTGATAGAATCTATTCGACACTCGATTATCCAGCAGTGTTGTTTCCTCGACGCAATTTCTTCTCTATTGTCATTGATTACACCGTGCGCAATATAAAGTTTGCCTCATGAATATGCATGAGCTGAAGGAAAAACGTGTTCAACGATTGGAGCAGACGGTCGACACTAGTCAGAAACAAGTAGCGGACTGCCTTCGGCTAAAAGTGTACATTAGTGTGATTTTATTATTGTTGTTGTTATTGTATGTGTGTGTGCATATATATATATATATATATATATATATATATATATATATATATATATATATATATATATATATATATATATATATATATAGATATATATATAGATATATATATATAGATATATATATATATATATATATATATATATATATATATATATATATATATATATATATATATATATATATATATATATATATATATAATATACCAGAAATAACAGACAGACAGACAGACAGACAGAGCTATCCCTGGATTCAGTAGAAGAATCTTGATAATAGTGGGTAGAAATAATAGTTTAATACAAACAATACTATCATACAGATTAGAGAAATTAAATTCGCACTCTATCGACTCAGTGCCTTCACTTTTTGGTGATGCGTGCTTAGTCGTGACGGCATATGGGCTGGTGCGTGCAGGCAGGGCGATGGGTGCCAATCACTCGCGAGAGAGAGAGAGAGAGAGAGAGAGAGAGAGAGAGAGAGAGAGAGAGAGAGAGAGAGAGAGAGAGAGAGAGAGAACAAACGATAGGCTATACATGGCGGCCAGTATTAACGGTGGAGCAAGAAACCGGGAAATCCGCGGAAAGAACCACGAGAAGCAAATAGCAAGCTTTCTCACCTATCCACCGCCGTATTTTAGACTGGAACCCACGCCGACAGGTGAAATGGCAATGATCCGTAATGGAGAGCGCTTTAGCCCACTCGGCCACTCGGGGCCCGTATGTATGTATGTATGTATGTATGTATGTATGTATGTATGTATGTATGTATGTATGTATGTATGTATGTATGTGTGTGTGTGTGTGTGTGTTATGTATCCACTGAATCGGGTTAGTATCATATATTTGAAAACTCATACATATTTAAACAATAATTCGAAACTAATAGGCAATTAGAAATAATATTCTGTAAATGTTCATATAATGCTTTTACCATGTAAGCTAATATTATTTTCTTACTAATCATTTTGAACCATCATTTTACAAGATTTACCATTCTTTGTTCAATTACATTGACGGAAAGAGTGAACACCTATTAAGTTCTCTGGTCGTAAAGAATAGATAAAGTT